GGACATCGTGCCTGAAACCCCCCTGCAAGAGCCCGTCATTTTCTTTCTAATAACACTTTTTAAGTGCAGAGTACTTTCGGTGCGAGAAACCTCCTGTATATGTAGTTTTATTTGAGGCTGGTTCCTGTCCAGCTCAGGTTCTCCTTCTCTTGTGGTTTCTGCAGTAGCCCAGAGCCCAGTGTACCCTTACAGGGGGATGGTCTGCTTCAGTCCTGTGGTGTTTTCTGAACAGCCTTGTCTTTTAATTAAGCAGCTTCACCCCCAGGATGAGGGGAATTGCCCCGAGTAGACTGTCTCAGTGTAAATATGAAATGCCATGTTGATTCACTGTTCAGCTCTGCAGTAGTGTTGCAGCACCTCAGTATATATATTTGTAATTTTTTTTGCCGTCTTCTCTTAGGAAGAGGAAGAAAGGAGGTCTCTTGCTAGAGCCAGATGAGAAAGAGGAAGAAAAGGCTCAGCAGAATGAAGAGGAGGAGGAGGAAGCGGATAATGTAGAGCAGGTGGAAAAAAGAAAAGAAGAAGAAATAAAAAAGAAAGAGGATGCTCTTTGGGCCAGTTTCCTCAGTGACGTGGGACAGAAACCCAAAGCAGCAGCTCCGACTCAGGCTGAGAAGGTAACGAGGCCCTGGGCTTTCAGCCAGGGAGGATGGGAAGGGCCGAAGCTTTAGAGCAGGCAGCATTGGCTCTACCTGGTACCAGGTGTCAGTCAAAGCTGGGGGAGGCTGGGCTTACCCCTGCCCCGTCTGCTATGTAAACCTGGACCCTCATCGTGGGGCAGACTATAAGGTGCTGGTTTCCTTCTGGCTGTGGAGGTGTACAATCTGGCAGTGCTGCTTCTGGAGCTGCTTGTCAGCATCTCAAAGTGTCCACAGAGCCCTGCTGGCTTCCTTTTCTGGTCCTGGATTCTCTGTGTGATGTAGGAGTGGCACAGTGAGCTTTGGTCTGAGCTGTGCTCTCCCATGAGGCTTGTGCCTTTCCTGATTCTCCAAATAAAAAAGGGGGGCTCTATATGTGTGTGTGAGTGATGAAACTGAAGAGACTCTTGCTGACATCTCTGTGCTTTGCTCTTCATCCTTGTATAGTGAGGGGGGCTGCGTGTTGGGATGGACACTGGTAACAAGAATGAATTGAGCTTTCTCTAGTTTCCTTTATAAGCCCCATTAAAGTGCTCTTGCTCCCTCTCTGCAGAGGTTTTCTGTAGGAAGAATTCTGTGTGTAATTGGATATTTAAAAGGATTTGGTTCTTAATAGAACCACATGCATTTATTTGCCTTGTACAGCTGTTCACTGAAGGCAGTAGAAGGGAAGAAGGTACCAAAACTCACCCTCTTTTCTTCAAAGTGTCTTGTTTTTTCCCCTTTTTGAGTGATCAGACAAAAAAAAAGTATTTTCTAAGAAAAGTCTGGACTCCTGAATCAGTGGCACCTGGCAAGTACAGCTCCTCACTATGTGAAGCTTCTTTCTACAACTGTTGGAGGGTTGCAGAACAAGTGTAGTCATGTAATCTTTGCTTGCAACTTTTAGAAGAGTCCTTTCGTCTGAACCCTCCTGCTTCTCTCCATCTCACTTGTTACTGGCTGAAGAGATGAGATGACTACAGGTAGAATTTGAAAGGAGGAGAGAGTAAAAGTTCTCTGAGCAATTCTGCAGGCAGAAACCTACAACATGAGTGGTCTGTGAAAGTTCCTTCATGGCCTAGAATGATTTATGGAAAGATGCAGTTCCTGTGTTCTCTTTGTTAACTTCTTAATTTGGACTTCAGTTGTCTGCTTGAAGATCTCAGTGGTACATGGTTGATTTAGAGCAAGAATTTTGGGGTTTGTTTTGATCATTTGTAGGGTGTGAGGTTTTTTATAAATGCTGTTAAAAGCTGTAGTTGTGACTGAGTAAGTTAAGAAGTGTTGTTGCCAGATTGCTTAATAAAAATATTTTCCTTTCACAGAGATATTGACAAGTAGCTTATTATCTTCAAGGTTGTATATGGAGATCAGTCTTGTGTTCCTTTATATTCTTGAGTAAAAATATACATATTTGGGTGCAATCCATGTAGTTAGTTTGGGAGAACTGAGTCTTCAGGCTTTTGCTTGCTTTCTGAACCACAGCAGTGTATTCTTGCTTATTCCTACATTTAATTACAATTTCACATCTCATTTTGGGTCTCTTTTGATCCCTGAGCTCCAGTGAGAGTCTACAACCAAAGTGGGGAATTTCATTTCGGTGGCAGGGGTGTTTGTTTCCTTTTGCTTGTCTGTGGGTGACTTGCTTTGACCAGCCAGCCTACATTGCAGTGGGACCTGAGGTCTATGTTGGGTCCTTGGCCCTTTGGAGTGATAATTTGGCTTGGCTCCACAAATTCATTGGTTTGCTTTCTCCTTCATGTATTTTGTAGGCTGAAGGAGAGAAGAGCGGGAACAAGCTTCAGGAGAAACCAGAAGAGTCAGGAAAAGTGACTATCACCAAAATGTTTGATTTTGCTGGTGAGGAGGTCAGGTAAGTTGGCAGATGTGACACATCTACTGCAGGCTCAGCACAGACTGGGTACTGCTTTCTGTGGGCAGGCTGGGTATATGCTGTGAAGCATAGTGTATCTTCTCCTTTTCCCTTTAAGATAATTTTTTATCTTGAGCACATACAGACTTCAAGGAAAACCAGGTCAGGATTCCCTTACCAGACAGCTGCAGAGTATCCTGGCACAGGTTGCCCAGAGAAGCTGTGGCTGCCCCATCCCTGGCAGTGTTCCAGGCCAGCTTGGATGGGGCTTGGAAAAACCTGCTCTAGTGGAAGGTGTCCCTGCCCATGGCAGCGGGTTGGAACTGAGTGAGTTTTAAGGTCCCTTTCAACCCAAACCAGTTTGGGATTTGCAGACCTCAGTCTTTGCTCAACTTCAAAATACTCCTGGAAATTCACTCTGACTTTCCCATCTGGACAGCGTTTAAAGTGGTTGGCAAAGGTTCCCAGTGGCTCCGCCGACTGGGAGGGTTGAGACAACAAGAGAAACTGTGTAGAGCCCCACATGGATGAAAGTAATGTTTTATTCCTTCAGTCTAGTCCAGGTCCTGTGTTGGGGGCAGGATATTTGCTTGTACTTTCCTTGGTGATATTCGCAACCCACTGCAAAGATCTTCTGACAGTAAGAGGTGTGTTGCTCAATGGACTGATAGCTGAGGGCTTTTACCTCTGAAACAGCTGCAACAAAGGTGATAGGTGCAGGAAAGTCATCCTTTAGGTCGAGTTTAGCCTGCAAGATGCCTCTGTGGATGCACTGCAAAAAGGAGCAGGCATTTTTTAAATGTCTAAGACCAGAACTGAGAGACCTGGGTGAACCCACTTGAAATCTGAATGCGTTATGACCTTGTGGTTATTACCACGGTGTTTTGTTCTGTTTTGTTCTTTCAATAAGTAACTGTAAGCTTGGTTTGACAGATGAGAATTTCACCTCTGTGTGTGACAGCAGAGGGCAGCAGTTCCCAGCAATAACTCCCGGGTTTTAATGTGGAGGAGGAAGCAGCAGGGGCTTCTGCTGCTGTTGCTGTTCATGTCAGTACTGGACCCTGAGCCGTTCGAAAAATCTGAGGAGAGCCACAGTAGCGACTTTCCTATACAATCCAGGCTGTGGGAATACCCTTCGTTCACTGATGAAATGGCAAAGAACTGTGCCACTGCAGATTTTCTGAGAGAGAGGATCCACCATACCCTTTCATCAGAGGAAAGGCACAGTCTTTCCTGTGGAAAGATAAAAATCTGTAGCAGAATTACAGAAATTCTGTAGCATAATTTGTCTTGTAATGCACTCCC